CAACTGGATAGGAATTTTTCGAACAAAACAACATAGCAGTAGTCTTCTTAGGATTTATTTTAAGACAGTGTTTCTTGCAATAATCGTTCACGTTAGTCATATCCAAATTGATTTTGAAAGAAACCTCGTCAACCTCTGACGGATCAAAGGCAAAAACCAACTGAGTATCATCCGCGTAAGTATGCATGGCTGAATGGACTATACAATCTTGCAAATCGGCAGTGTATATCAGATATAATAAGGGACCAAGCACAGAACCCTGAGGAACTCCTGAAGGAACCGGCTTCGTAGTGGACATGCCCTGTTCAGTTTTCACAGTTTGTTTAGTATGGTAATTTCTATATCATTTTGATATATCTTGAGCCGGTCACCATATTGGATTTAGAATTACACGAGTTGCTCATTGTATTTCTTTCAGTGAACGCTTCCATTTGATATCCATATCATAGAAGTTATAAATCGCCATTTATTGGCAGCCGCCATATGGGATTTAAAATGACATCACTTTACTTATTCTGTATAGGGGTGACTATGGAAATTGTAAATCGCGATTTTGTGGCGGCAACCATATTGGAACTAGAATAACGTCACGTTGCTTGTTGAGTTTCTCTCATCAAGCCCTTAAATTTGATGCATACGTTATAGGGCTGACTATGGTAATTATATATTCCCTTATGGGGCGGTCGCCATATTTGATTTAGAATGACGTTACTGTGCTTCTTGCGTTCCTCTAATGAAGCCTTTCATTTGATACCCATGTCATAAAGGCGACTGAAAAACGTAAATCGTCATAATATATTTAGAATTACGTCACTTTCCTCTTTATGTTATTCTCGTCATGTCCTTTCATTTGTTACCAAACGTATGTACAAAATTTCAGTTCAATTGGTTAAGCTGGACTGGTTCAAAATTCAGTTCCAAGATTTGTCCCACACATACTAACAAACAAGTTAAATTAAAACAGGGCCTTGTTTTTTGCTTTTGCAAATTAAAATGCTTCCTAGTTCTGATAAATTGAGTAAACTAATATAGTCTCTCAGGCTAGTATAACATGTGTATGTATCTGTATTCCAATATCACATAAAATAATCATGCAGAATTTAAAACAGCGCAATTACAAATGAAAATCTCTGAAATTTCCAAATGTTTTCGCAAAGGCGTAGAGAGATAAGCACGAAGAGCTGTTAAACGGCTAGTTTTAAGTACCCCTTAGACATGCTTGGCTACACATAACTACGTTTTGCGTTCTAAATATTTGCCGACGAATAAAAATTATTTATCTATGGTATATCTATACGAACATAGCGTTATGTTCTCCTGAAGCTTCGTGTTTGAATGCTTCCAAAACGGGATAATACCACAGCAAGACTTTCGACATTTCCAAAGGCCTTTTACTTGTAATGTAGATGTAATCTTTTGTAAAGCTATAGGATTTGCGGGAATAACTTTCCTTTCAAGTCTCAGAAACGACCAATCTGTGGGACTTTTTTCGTATAAAAGTGCAAGCTATGGACTATCCCAACGCATTGTATTTCTGCACTTATTCTATCTTAAGATAGACAGTCAGGTACTGTATTCCGGCGTCCACAAAGGGATTTGAAAGATACTAGCGCAATTCAGGAGACAGTAGCCAGAACACGTAAATGAATTTAGAAATCTAATTAGAAAATAATTGTTTCGTTGGGCTACTGTCTCATAGATGGTACTACGATCGACAATTCCTTTTTGGCGCCTCTCTAATGCCTATTTTAATTGGCTATCTTCAGGCATTGATTAAGGTATTTTACCCGAAAATGGGTGTTGGATAAGCTAAAGAAATGGCGTCAGGTAGATTGACTCTATATTTCATACGCGTAAGCTGGAGGTTTCAAAGTAACGAGATGAGTCAAATCGTTTCAAAAGCCAAAATCGAATCGTGATTAGGTAGGTTCACTTAGGCTCGATGACCTCTGCATATTAAACTATATAAAGCAAATCTACACTATTTCTGATTCCGCGGCAGATGTAGGGAAAATATGTGTAACAAATCTACTATATTTCTGATTCCGCGGCAGATGTAGGGAAAATATGTGTAACTTATTATGTCTAAAAGTGCACAGTATCACTGACATCAGCAGCTTCTTAATAATAGAAAGTATTTTACTGACGCCAAATATGCAACAAATTACATACCACCATTTCCGGATACAGCTTCCCCTGCATTAGGTTCCAGTGATTTTATTTCCGCCGCTTTTGAATCAATTTTCAAAATCTATGTTACCTAAACGATGGACGTATTAAACTCGTGATAATATTCGAACATCGTGTCACAAGTTTTCTGTTCCTTGAAGATATCTGCATCACACAAGTTCGTGTTTCTTATTTATGTCGCTTTGTCAGTCCGTTTCTGTTGTTTATCAATGCGTCATAATTACTGAGTCAATCTACTTGCCCAAATATTCAGAGAACCATCATAGACGGAGTAATACAAGTTTAAGAGTAGATGAAATGGGCGGTACATTTAGGGCTCATACAATCCAGAAAAATGTCTGTGTAGATATAAAAACAGTTAAGTTGTCATTTACAAAAGCATCACAGAATGTTAAAGTGGTACGTACTCCTAATATCCAAATATTACTAAGATATATAAATATTTCTGCTGTAGCAGTGTCAGACCAGTTGGAGTTTGTTACCCATTGCACAGTCGGAAGTTGCCTCCATGGCGATACAGAATCACGTCGTGCACGCAACGCCAACGATAGCAGAGCTATTTAGAATGAGCACATTATACACTGGACTTTGATCATTTCATTTTTCAGTTGCTACCAGGATCAGAAGCTTCTTAAAGATAGAACGTCTTTGACTAATACTGAAGACGTTACATTTACAACCCCCAAGTTACAATCACTACAAAAAATTTCCAGAAAATGATCAGGAGCATCTGAAACGTCAATAAGCGTTTAAGCGATTTTAACTTTTTGGTAAGACTATACTTTAGCGCATATCGCAAATACTTCGTTTCTTATTTCAAAATGAAATATTAGGATGTAAGTTCAACGACAGTATCATTTTTTCTTTAAGGAACCCTCTGCTTACTATGTTATAGAACTTCAAAGTTGCATTTTTGGAGGTGACACTCTAGAATAGAATACTGTTTTACACCCTGTTTTTTGCATTTTGCACAAAAGGATGCTCTAAATTATAAGAACATAACATAAACTGTACAGTACTAAGGAAAATAGATGTGAAACTGTAATAAACCCTTGTTTTTGCAAATAAATGATAGTTTAAAAAACTAAAAAAACACGCTTTTGTAGCTGACCGAACTAAAAAGTATAAAATAATTTTTAACTGCAAGTTTATGTTACAGTAGTGGATGGTCAAACAATCAATCATAATTATCTAGTGACCTCAAAATAAAATTATTGGGGTGCTTGATATATCAAATGTTACAATCATTCTATTGCCAACTATCTATATGAGAGGAGAGTGACGAAAATGTAGTAAAATGCACCCCACGCTTTTTACTGTGAAATGAATTATTCTGCTAATAACTTAAATTTTATTATAATTTTATTTTGAGGTCATTAATTATGATTGATTGTTTGACAATCTACTACTGTAATATAAACTCTTTGTAATTTAAAAATTATTTTCTACTTTTTAGTTTTTTTAAGCTATTATTTATTTTTCATTTTTTAGTTCGCTTTATCAATTATTTTTTGTGGACATGTCATGACATCATGATATTGCATTGTCATCGATCCTTGATACGTGTGCGAAGTTTCAAATTAATCAAACTCCTGAAAATTGGTGAAACGTATGCTCAGGGATTCCGTTACATACGTAAATACATACATACATACATAGATACATACATACATACATACATACATACATACATACATACATAGATACATTCATACACACACACACATACATACATACATACATTCATACATACATACATACATACATACATACATACATACATACATACATACATACATACATACATACATACATACATACATTACATACATACATACATACATACATACATACATACATACATACATACATACATACATACATACATACATACATACATACATACATACATACATACATACATACATACACACATACATACATACATACATACATACATACATACATACATACATACATACATACATACATACATACATACATACATACATACATGCATACATATATACATTGTGTAAACAAGAAAAAAAACATCTTTCAAGCAGTATTCTATACCACAGTAAAATGCAACTTTGCAAGTTCTATAAAATAGAGAGCAGAGGGTTCCTTAAAGAAAAAATGATATTTTCGTCCATTCACATACTAATCTTTCATTTTAAAATAAGAAACTGTACTTTGCGATATGCGCTAAAGTATAGTTCAGTCAATTTTTTTCGTGTGTTTGCTCCTAGCTCCGTCACCACTAGACCGATTTTGAACAACTACGAAACCTTTATCCTTGGCATAGTAGTAACCTTGTGTGAAGATTTTATCAAAATCCGAGTGGTACTTCTCTAACTATAGGCGGTTATGAAATTAATAGACAGTCCAATGCAAATGAGTGATATGGTTTTTCGTGGTATACATATAATATCCAAAAAAAAAAACGTAATATCGCTATTACAATATGAAGTAACAGGGATTGAAGATCTAGAGACCCTATGAGAGTCTGTTCCAAGTAGGTTCAGGTAGAATATTATGTTAATCAACGATTCATGTAATACCTGAAACGTAGCCTGCGGTTGCTTCGGTGATCAGTGACCATGTTTTCCTGGTCGCCAAATAACACCACAAAAGTAAGAGTTTATTAACGTTTCGGTCACCTCGGTGACTACATCTGTGATTTTATTGGGCTGCCAGCAAAACGTGGAGATGAACACTTTGAATTTATGGCATATTGTGCCCCTCCCATCCAACATCCAACGAGCTAACAAACGTTCGAAAAATAAAAATACTATTTCCTAATCTAGCAAACGAAACTTGTCGCTCCCCATGAGAATTGTTGCTTACATGACTTTCGCCGTGCACGGAGAAATGAATAGGTGTGAAAGCACGGAAGGGAAGCGGTACGCGGGGAAGAAGCTGCCTGCTTCGTGGCCGAGCTCGGAAAGGAAGAAACGGTATCGCATCGCTGCCGGAGGAGAAGAAGATGACTTCCAGCACCATGTCGATGTCGTGCCTTTTGGAAACCAGGAAACCACCAGGCTGTTCACGTGTGTACGTGTGTTTGTTTATGGGCTCGCCGCTGCGCTGAAGAAGAATGCCCAGGGGGACATTGGCACGATCTATGATATGCTTCCATGTTGTTTTCGAAGTTACTACACCAAGAAAAAAAAGTTAAAAATAAACAATTAAAATTTTGATTGAAATTAATTAACTATATAACAGCTAACAACTTTATTTAGTTTAATTAAACTTCGATTTTTAAAACAGCTTACTTGAATCTTTGAAACTAGTTTTAATTTATTAAGCTGTTTACTTTGATTAATTACACCCATTTATTTAAAGGTGTTAAGCTATTAAACTGAGCTTACCTGGTTCAGCTAAAACAATATAACTATGTTTATTAAATTTTCTTCATAAGTTCAGGTAAAACTGTATGTCCATATTTAATCAATTATTTTATTTAGATTTGGAAGGATATTTGGAATTCAAAGGAACAAATTGCATTTTAGTGAATGATGTATATTATAGCTGTGCTCTGACAAATTTCAGATATCAAAACATTTTGAAAGCTCCATATTGATAGTTTGACAGATGTATTTGAATCAAAATAAAAACTTCCGATTTTCATAACTCCAACAAAATTTGATATTTTTTATTTTCATTGATTGTAAACTTTTTATACAGGGTGTTTCAAATTTGACCCTCACCATTGGGATCTCGGTAACTGTAAGACATATCAAGTCGCTTAAATGAGTGCAAAGTTACGGATTTAGGTAATCAACAAAATGCCACTTGGAAACTTTTGAAATTCACATTACTTCCGCGGAGAAGGAAATCGGTTACTTCTGTGTAACTGTCTGGTCCCGTCATTGGATACTGGGTTATTAAATCAGGAACAACCAAGTAACCTTATTGACTGTATCACGACGAAGAAACGAAGAGCAACAAACGAAGACGCTGCGAGCTGGAGACGATTGCACAGAAGAAAAGCAAAAAGAAGAAAAGAGGTCCACAAGATGCTTCGAGATCCCTACCAGTGGAAGCGCATACAGCACTTTATAACCGAGGAATGGTAGGAACAAAATCATTAAAAGACATTGATGAACTTGTTTTCAAAAAGGGTGACCAGCCCTTTGGTCTATTTGGGCACTCACATAACGTACAACGTCTATCAATTCCATTTTTTTTTAATTTGAATTTGAATCGTCACAGCTATGTTTCCAAACAGACTCCATTTTTCTTTTAAAGGAAATTGTTTGTCGTAAGCATGACATCAACTTCCTAAGAAAAGGCCAGCCCTTAACATTCCTCGCAATTTATTCCCAAGCGTCTGTTTGTTCAGAATTTCTCAGCGATGAAAAATGATATCCCAAAGGGTAGCATCGCTGACACCTAAAGACGATGGTCGACAGTTATATAGTTGTAAGCATACGTGATTGGAGGACAGGACAGGACTTTCAATTGGATAGGGTATCTTCTAATGGAATATATGCCAATAAATACTTACGGACAGTATGACACAATAATCTTTCAACCAAAAATAATATTACAGATTTTGGGACCAGCCCGAATGTCATCAGCTGTCAAACCCAGATTGTTCAGACCGAAAGCCCACGACGGCCTGACCTTCGTTATTATGTAAAACCTGAAAGTTTCTCTGTGCATGAACCCAACACAAGTAGCAACGGTCAGCGACTAAGAAATTTGGATAGTGCTTACTTTGGCAGGAAACAAGGAAGCACAGATGTAAGAAATAGTACCTTAAATTCTTTAAACACTTGCCAAATACTTAGTACAAATTTAACCTCCTGCTAGACACTCCTAAACTTTAATAAATCAGAGTTAAGCTTCCGTTATAGTATAAAAGCTGAAATTTATGTGTTACTTGAGAGAGTATCAAAAGATGTTACTTTAGAAGCCATACAGTTTTAATGGGCTTTACATTTTGCCAGACACATTGCAAGTCTGCCGTAGGTGCAAGCGGCAGGTAAACGCTGCACTGAGATATGGCAAAATAGAGTGCGGAGTCAAAGGTATGTATTACTTGCTAATCGACTCATGACTCTATAAAACAACAATATATATTCGATATTTTTTACGTAATTAGTGAATTCAAAAAGCCCATTAGAGTCCGATCTATTTCGAATAGCAGGTTTATCTGTTAAGAAATATGTAAATTTTGTATGCAGCTGATTGAAACTTCGGTATTTATACGAGACTATACAATAAAATATAAATTATATCATGAAAGTATTTAAAAAGCAATCGACAAATTTTTGACATACATAGCCGTCATACTATGTAGATCCGCCATTTAGATTTCTTAAGAATCCCTATTTTGAGGGGTGATCAAAACGTTATTTGCAAGCAGAGGTGCCATATATTAGAACAGCAATTTCGATTTTTGACCAATCGATATCAAATTCGTTATTAGCGACTCTAAAAACATCAAGACTTGATTGACGCTGAAAGCCTTCTTCTGTTTTATTTATTTTATATCTATAACATCGCACAACAGAAGCCGATACAATGTGACCTCACGACCTACAGAAAATATCATACATTTCTTAAATTTGAAGTTATCGTTAGCTTTTTCAGATTTGTGAAAGATACCAGTTATACTATATGTAAGTGAAACTAGCCGTATTTTCGACTACAGGGAACTTTCTAATTCTGGTTGCCGTTGCTTGTGAAACGGATGGGTACTGGGAACTAATTGTATGAGTCTATTTTCTAATTATATTGGCCTGTTTTAAGAAATATCAAATAACTAATGAAACTTTTCCAATGGAACTTTTTAGGCACTACATTGACTACATGATGGTGATTTTTAATATTGTGCTATTGTCTTGGTTTTAAGGAAAAATGCGTTTTTTATATATATTCTATTAAGTAGGCGCTGCAAGCAAATGCTTGACTTAAATACCTGTCATCGAGTGTTGCTATTATTGTGTATTGCTAGTATTACTTTGTTATGCTCCGCACGAGTATTACAATATTTAAAAAACCTAGAAAAAGTAAAAAAAACGACGAAATTTCATCTTGCAGACTAAGTAGTTTTTAGTGTGCAAACAGTTCATTCCACGTCTTCTCGCTATAATCGCTGTTCGCTGTCGCTGTAGCAGCACGTACAGCTACAAAACGAGTGCACAACAAGTGCTAAGTTAACATTTTGTAGAAAAGCCTACGTTATCACAAAAAACCTACAAAATGTCAAAAAAACGACGAAATTCCACTTTTCAAGATACGTAACACCAGTGCCGGTCTCGTCTCGTAAATAGAACAAGTGTAGTATCCAGTTTCCTGGCGATGCGGCTCACAACGCCCTACCACTTTTCTCCTCTCCGGCCCCTGGAGTACAAACTGATTCTTTGTTCTAGTGTCACGCGCTAGGTATCGTGTTACTCGTTCGTACACCGATTTTTACATTCTCAGCAGTGTCGAGGTGCCCAGACATAAGAAACGATAAAGGAACAGCTCCTCATACAGGAATCGCTGAATTCCAATATTAGACAACTGAGATAAAGATTCAACACTGAACTCTGTTGCCTGAGATGGTGACTTATACTTATGATGACTAGGATTCTACGACAACCAACAATACTGAAAGCGTTTGCCACAACGTAGCGACAAAGTACGGTCAGCAATCTCTTTTCATTTGCTTGTGATAGCTAATTACACCGGGTTGGAACAGGATTGTAAATTTGAACATGACATGACCGCCAAGATATATTTATTCCTTATTTCCAGATAGAGATTAAGTATCTTAACATATGTGAGGTTATTATTACATTTTGCTTGTGATAGCAAATTTCATCTGGTTTGATAACCATGGAACGGAAAGTCTCATGGTTTTTGGTCACCCGAGAAGAAGATTCCGCATGTTAACCATCTGGAACTACTGGCAGTTCTGTTCGGTCATGAATGTTTTGCTCCAGACTTGAGGGGCTGTCGATTATGATACCCCATTGATAATGCGACAACTATATCCTACATCAATAGAATGGGGAGCTTCTAGTTTCCACGCCTGGACCAGGTTGCGGGGAGAGCTATGGCAACTGTGCAAAGAGAGAAATCCACCTGTCACCGACCTGTCTTTGGTTCATGGGTTCGGTGTCCTTGAAATTTCGCTTCTAGAAGTAACGCAAAGATATGATGAAGGGACCCAGGACTCCGCTCCAACTAATTCTGAACCTTACCCTGGTTGTCGTCCCTGCAAAGCTGTCATTGTGGGCTTAGAGTATGGAATGACCTTTGTCGGGAAGAAATTCATCAAATTTTTCTATTTGAAATTTCCTACCTTACAGATAAGAGATTAAGATATAATTGTTTAGTTCGCTATAAATCAGCTATCAGCCTTTTACTAAAGATGCTACTAACGATGCAGGTTTAAAATGCTTTTTTTCTTTGAAGGGCGTTTACAGGTTGAGGCCAACTCAACCGCAATTTACCCCTACCTGAGATACTGTGGTTGTTCTCAGCCAACCAGAGGGGTTGCTGGTGCCCTCTGTGGATATTCAGATGAGGAAATCAGCAACACTGTTGGCCCTAACCTCAGGTCAGAGGGTGCAAACGCTGCCCATAATTGAATCAGAGAACATCCTAATCGGGTTGAATAATATTGAAATTGGGATTTCTCAATTCTTGAAAACCTCCGGGCCACTTATGTGGCAACCACTTTCGCGCCCAATATATATATATATATATATATATATATATATATATAAGTCTGTTTCAGCAGACAGTGGTCTAGGTGTGTAAATGACAGCCCACAGTACATGAAACGAGTCTACCTTTGCGTCGGGTAAATTATAATACGCTCCGACTCGCACCGGGCTGGAGCGCGATTTCTGAGTCACCTCACAATTTTCTTATGCCAAACAATAACTTTACTCAAGCGGCATTTGAGGTAAGCCAAGTCTCCATACCTTTAACACAACTATGTTGTTACGTTATTAGCTTCTTACCATGTAACAGATGGTATTTTTATTTTTGAACCTATTGTTAAAAGCTCTAACTTTAATTGTTACAATGAAGATGTAAATTTAGTTAATACGTGCATTGTGTACAATCTGTGTAGTTTTATACAACCTATCGTTTATTATTGCAGAGCGTTGTTGCAACTCGATTTGAACATCTACACATGTTCTATTTATGAGAAGAGGCCGGAACATAATTACATGATCAAACGAACTTACCTGTAAGTGATGTTCGGTCTTAATTATGTGAAGGACTCGTCAAAGTATGTATGCCAGGGACCGAAGAGGAGAAAGATGGGGGGGCGCTGTGAGCCGCTTTTCTTCGCTGCGTGCGCGCTTTGAACTCGTGGGCTTGGGCGCGAAACGGAGTACTTACCTGCCTATTTACTTCGACGAGGCCTTCACATAATTAAGATCGAACATTACTTATAGGTAAGTTCGTTGGATCATGTAATTATGGTCAAAGACGCCAGGCCCATCCCCTACTGGGCGGGTCCGTGGCAAATGCTTGTTCCGGGAGTTGTTCTATTCACTACACACCTTCTTCCCGTTCAAGTGATTGTACATGTGGTGGTACAAGTCCGCCAACGGGCCACCTTAGGTCTATCTAACAAAATTAACTCGCAAAAAGAATGTGAGAGACAAGGACCATTAATGATGATGGATCCCTCGAATACTAAGGATTCCGTACGTAAACTCACTCCACTCTCGGAATGTCTGGGTAGAAGGTGAACGCGAGGGAACAACATCGAAGATAAAATTTGTTGCACGAACATCTGCAATCCAATCGTACTGCCACGCTTTTCTTGGCGAAGAGAAAAATCTCAGAGTCTGCACCGATTAATCATCTTAGCTTCCCAAATTACGAGGTGCACTCCAATCTGAGAAAGAGCGGGGATATGTTCGCAGCAGTCTTTCCTGCTCCAGAGACATTCCTTTGGAATTAGACCGGAAGGACATTCTGTGGCTTCGCCTTCACTCCAAAACATTCTCCAATTTTATTTGCTGCCTTTGTTGCCCTCCCTAGAACCATAACTGGGATAACCTACTTGAATATCTTGCGGTCAAGAGCGACTTCCTCAACACCAGTCACTCCGCTTCAGAGGTAGTTCCCCTCGTGATTTCAATGCCCATAATGAGCTGTGGCTGGGATCAAACAAGACCGAGGTAGCAGGTCGTGCAGTTGAAGCGTTCACTCAAGGGTTGACCCAGCTGCTGACGAGCCCCACTTCCTTCCCCACGTCTCGTCACATGCCAGTAGTCTGCGGGATCTCTTTCTGACCACGCATCCTGTCCCCTACAATACTGCTGTAATGTCCCCTCTGGCTAACTCAGACCACGGTGCTGTGGAGGTTAGGTTTCGGTCAGGCCTTAAAATTTGGCATTACAGACATGCCGACTGGGAGGAGCTCAAGGGGTCCTTTGCCACCTTTCCTTGGAGAGATGTTTGTTTCTCCGACTGTCTGTTAATCGATGATTCACGTCGGGATGGAGGAATACATTCTTCATACATTGAAAGTGCCTAAACCAGAGTCCAACGGCTGGTTTAACAAATCGTGCGGCACTGCTCGAAAGCAAAAAATCAAGGCACATAGAACCGTCTTACAAAACTTTACTGTAGAGAACAAGCAAGCCGACGCGGAGTCCAGAAACAAATATAACGAAGCGGTTCGCAATGCCAAAGACCAGAACGATATAAAAGTTAGGCACAGGGTAATACCGCAGTGTAATGGAAGTCGGTCTTTCTAGACGCTCACCAAGCAGATA